GTTATGTCCTATTTACATTACCAACCTAAATGACTTGAATTAAAGGCAAGAGATGATTTGGATGTAATGAAAGCTTTAGGGAAACATTTATGTTTATAAGTTATTTTATGGTTATATTACATTAAGCAGTCAGCTACAAATTCAACATTCTGGGACATTCTTTAATGTAAACAGACACAAGGGAGCCCTCCTTGGGAAGAAACAAGATATTATTCTTGGACTTCTTCAGCCCTGCCACACTATAGAAATAAAACTAGTGAAATCTTTTTATCTTCTGAAGTTACAAGGTACTATGAGGTTGAAGGGTTACACAGCTGTTTATGGAGGGGAAGGGAAGAGCTAATAACTTACCTGTGAACTATTCAGAATTTTTTGTAAATGAGAATTCTACATTACTGAGATTCTTCAGTAGGTAATTGCCAGTTGTAATGATTTCCCCTTGAAGTAGCCATTTGTAGACCTCTATTATATCAATAGGCCAGTATAGTTTAATCGGCTCTGAAAATGGAATGGCAAAGCACACCCATCCCTGCCCTGCGAAGTTGCCTAGGAAACAAAAACACTACTACCAACAAATCTGTCAACTAGGCTGAAATTATGAAGGAGTCACCAATCCCAGACAGAAATTCCCCACTTCAAAGACATGAATTAAATTCAATAAACATTTATTAGTCCCCAGACTATAAGCACAGCACCATTCTATCCATTATAATAAGGGAGAAGGGGTATGGATTCTACAAAGCCCAGTTAAGATGCAGTGCCCTTATGCAAGTAACAGTATAGAAATGGACCTGTGAATTCAAAAGGTCATATTCTGGCAAAAAGACCCATGTCTATATTATTCCAGTAACGTTGCAGAAAAAGCACTGAACTAGTCACCAGTAGACATAGGTTCTGGCCCTGGTTCTGTCATATATTTGGTAGGATTAGTCATTTAAACTTTTTGGGTCTCATTTTCCTCCTCTGTAAAATAAGGAGGTTAGAGTGGATGATCTCTAAGATACCTGAATTTTCTATAAACTTTGCTGTAAATATTTTAAGTATTTTTGCTCATTTCTAGAATGTCTCATTTATCATAACACAGTGCCTTAGGGGGAAAAAATTAAATAAATTTTTGAATCTTTATCCATGTTAAAATATTAAAGGAATTAGGATAGCTCATTTGACTCTTATAAAAATAGATTTAGAATCCAGGGTCTCATGGATCCAGGTATATTAACATACAATTCTATATACCACACAACCCAATAGATACAAATCAAATTCATCTCTCTCTCTCTCTCTCTCTCTCTCTCTCTCACACACACACACACACACACACACACACACACACACACACACGCACGCACGCACGCACACACACTTAGTCTTAGGTCATCTCCCTATTTCCACCACTGACCTAATCATACTTACCTACAGACCCTTTTACATAACAGGTAATAAAACCCATGTGTGCAGAAATGTTAATTTCACACCGATACTCATCTCTAGGGTCAAGAGAACAGGAGACTTCCTGTCCTTCACATCATAAATATGCTCCTTTCTCCCCTTTTATAAACAGTAACAGTGAAAAGCTGGTGGCGGTAATCATTTCCACTGAGTATAGAAAATTTATTTAAATAAATTCCTTCCCATTATGTTTCCTCCTTTTTCCTCCTTCTCAAATCAAGACCCAACACAAATAATCACCCAAGGAACATCACACCCCCGAATTTCAGCCACCTCTTTTCTCATGCTTGGTGTCTATGTGGTGATTTTTTTTTAAGCATAAGCTGTTTTTCTATTTCACATGGTTTAACATGAAATTATTTCTACTTCTTATTTATCAGTTACATATTAAGTTCCTGATTAACATATCATTTTAAAACCATGAAAAGTTTAATAAATTAGAGCTTCCATTTGTAAAGTTCTTTTTTTTTTGGTGAGGCAATTGGGGTGAAGTGACTTGCCCAGAGTCACACAACTAGTGAGTGTTATGTGTCTGAGGCTGGATTTGAACTCAGGTCCTCCTGACTCCAGGGCCTGTGCTCTGTCCACTGCACCACCTAGCTTCCCTGTAAAGTTCTTAAGTATTCAACTTCATTTCAGAGTTTGATCTTGTTACAATAAACCCACTGCACAAAGGGCAGTGTATGTTTTTATGCAAGTCCCTAAAGTCTTAGTGATGTTTTTTAAGCTTTAAAAAACTTAAAATCTTACTGAGACTTTTGGGACATCTTATATAGTATATATGTTTTATAGAGACAATCTATATATGTTCTTTATATAGGCAGAGATATCTATCTCTCTACATATATAAATAACATTCATATACTTTCTGTATGTAAAATATAAATATATAGAAACACACACCAGGGGGGAGGTTTGGAATGCAATTTCATCAGTAAAAAGAATTCCTGGGCAGCTGGGTGGCACGGTGAATAGAGTACCAGCCCTAGAATCTTCCTGACCCATCTTCCCGATTTCAAATCTGACCTTGGACACTGGCTATATAACACTGCGCAAGTCATTTAACCCTGTTTGCCTCAGTTTCCTCCTCTGCTTAATGAGCTGGAGAAAGAAATGGCAAACAACTCTATTATCTTTGCCGAGAAAACCCCAAATGGGGTCACAAAGAGTCAGACACAACTGGAAATGACTATCCTCTATAAAACAAGAATTTCATCACTGTTTCCTCTCCAGAAAAATGCATTCTTTTTAATCAGTTACTAGAAAAATAAATCAGTATACTGTGTTATTTGTGCCAAGCCTAAAATATTTGAGGTTTTTTCCCCCACAAGAAAATATTTCTCAAGGTGTAACAGGGAACACAATGAAAAATACAAAAGCCTATTGTATTTCAGGATCATTCCAACTTCTCTGAACCAAATATTAAATTTATTCATGTTTTTATGTAGAAGTTTCAAAGGAAAATAAAGACCTCAGCAATGATTTATGTCACAAGTAAATTGTTTATTCTAATTACATGAGTATTATACTATATGGGTGTCATAAAATAGTGGCTTTCCAATTTTTCATCCTAAGCCCCATCATGATCCATTTCTCCCTTTTTCAAGAAGTAAGAAATTGTGTGGCAAGATTTTCATCTTACATGGGAAAATGATAGGCAGCTAGGCAGATACATAGCCAGACAAATAGCCAGACAGATAGATTATACAAGATATACATACACATATATATCATCCGTTTCAGAAATTTTCAGATTCTGTCCTAAGCTCTCTCTAAGGTTAGGAAAGGAAAACTGATAACAGACGGCACAGAAGGAAGAAGGTGACAATGAGGGATGAATTCAGAAGCTCTTCACATACCCTTAGGACTTCCCTGGGACTGACTGCTCTTGTGAGATGTCATACAACATGGAACAATATGAAATTTAGAAAAATTCTCATATTGACCAAGGACTGGTCTGTTCCTCTGCAAAAGCAAGCCAGAGGAGAGAAGTGGAACCCAGCTACCATTTACTACATGGCAGTGTACAATAGTCTGTCTACAACAAAGCATCACAAATCTAAAACTGGAAGGGATACCAGAGATCATCTAATCCAGTCTCTCATTTTACAGATAAAAGAAAATGAGGCCCAGAGAAGTAAAATGAATTAATACAGGTAGTATTAGTTGAGACAATATTTGAACCCCAGTCTTTTGACTCTGATCCAAAACTCATACCATTGGGTAGGCTCACAGTAGCTTATGGTGCTGGAAGAGAAGCAGCTTATTAGCTTAGGACCCTTGTGAGCAAGGGGACTCAGTCTTTCCAGAATCAAGTGGGTTAGTCTTAAAGTGGTATTTTAAGTTAAATGGTCACAATCACCTGCTTTTCTGTCTTCAGGTGCACAACGAACAAATTTTGGATGACTACAACCTCCTTAAGCAAAATGTCTTTCCTGAAAAGGACAGAAGAGAGGAGCCAAGAAAATAATGATACACAGCATCATTTGAGCCAGCTATGATCCATCTGTGAGGCAGTTCCTACCTTTCATCTCAGCGATGACTTGCCATGGACAGAAAGCCACTTACAGGGCATAGGCAAGGCAAAAGTCTAGATGAAAACCAACCCTGGAGTCACCCCATCACTCAGGATTGATTTTGTCCCAGTCAAGGGCACAGATGTCAAGTTATCTTTTGATAAATTTAGTGTATGCCTGTGATTTTCAGATAACAGATCATATTACAGTGTCCCTGCTCTACTAAGGGCAGCAGAGATACATAATACCATTCTGCGAAACAACAGTACAGAGCTCACTCCCTAGATAAACGCATTCACTCACCCATCCCTACAAGCCAACTCATGTGTGCATTGCTTTATGCAAAATAATCCATCCACAAACTAATCCATATATACTACACATATGGATAAGTGATCCATATGTATGTACCCCAGTCATGTACCATTTTACCATAAATCAGCCCTTAGAAACCTCTCCCATCTGCTATCGGAGCCCTCATACCCACACTGCAGAAACCTTTTAAATCTTTTTAATCATTAAAATCTTGCTTTCTACTTAGATATTAAGAATGGAACTCATATTTTTTAAAAGCCTGCTAGAAAAGAAAGAGAGGGCCCTGGACAGAGAGAGAGAGAGAGAGAGAGAGAGAGAGAGAGAGAGAGAGAGAGGAGAGAGAGAGAGAGAATCTACAAAATATCTGTAACCCCCATCACAGTCAGAGAATACGTTAAATTGCTCTCATAGTTCCATATGGGGCATAACACCCAGCCCCACTAGCTCCTCTTTACCTTCCCATGACTGTGCATCCCGGTAGGGCTGAGAAGTCCGTGCCCTTCGGTTTTTCCCCTTCTAGCCCTACCTCCTTTCCGTTGTTTCATTTACCAGATGTAGAGATCAGTATAAACAGCATTTATCTACTTAAGCCCCTAAATGAGAGCACAGGAGCACTGACAGGTAATGGGAACCTTGAAGAGCCAGCTACCTCTCTGGCTCCCTCACGCTCCCTATTTCCCCTCCCCGGCAGCTCAGAAGAAAGGACTTTGCTTTCTTTACCTGTAATGGGAAGTTATTTGCAGCTGAACCGGCTCACCGCTTCCTTTAAGCCTAGCAGCCTCGGAGTCCCAGAGAAGAGGGACCGACGCGCTGCGCTGGAATCTCCTTTAACAATGATGCAGCTCCACCAGGCAGCGCATGTTAACGAGACACCAGAGGGGATCCCAGCTGAGGCAAGAGCGGACCATATGTCATACCTGCATCACAGCCCCCGCGGCCAGCAGCCCAGACCGGGAGAGTGAGGCAGAGCTCTGCAAGGCGCAGAAGGAGAGGGGGAGGAAGGCAAGACACAGACCCTGAGAACGCTTGGGTAATTGAATCAGGATAATGGAATAACCACCGTTTTGCTTCTGCACGAAACGCAATCACTGCAGCAAATTTCGTGGCTTGTAAATGGTCTTCTTCTAGGAAGCAGATACTGTTGTTGTTGTTGTTGTTGTTGTTGCTTTGACCACAAACAAAAGTGGAACTGAGGTCTTTCCTCACTGTTACATTTTGCAGGCCGATATATTTAAAACTTTTTCCCCCTTAACTCTACCTCAGATGATACTGACTGTACATCACCTGCCATTCTCTCTTCATCCAGGTTGACGACCAACTCAAAAATCCCTTCTAGCTCTGAAATCTATTATCTACAGTCAACCTTCTCAAGTCCTATGTCTGTTTTGTTTTGTTTTATTTTGCTTTACTTTGCTTTGTTTTGGGAGGAAACAAAAGAAGAAAAGGAAATGCAGTAAGAAGATCCCAGCTCAGTTAAGCCCTGCTCTTGGTAAATGGCCCAGACTCTCAGGAACTGGAAGCAAGTCCCCAGTGAGAAGCTTAGAATACTCTGATTATCCAACTCCAAAGGCTGTTGGACAGACATTAGCAGCCCAGTTTCCCACTCAGCTTTCATCAATGAGTTGACAGTTAAGCATCTGCAGAAAGCCATGCTCTCTTCTAAGCACTTTTCCACACCCCTCCACCTGCCTTATCCTGCCCTTGAATGATCATTGACAAAACACTGGAATTCTGTGGGAGGAGGGAAGAGACCAAAGTTCCTTCATTTTGACCTATTCTATAAGTGAAACAAACATCCTATGCTTGGTCAGTGATAAACAGAAAACTCTCTCCAGGAAGAAGTTACATCCTTTCTATCTAATGACACTGAATTTGGATTTAGCTATTTGGCAGCTTTACCTCTCTGAAGCATGGCTAAGAGCCGGTAAACATCAGAAAAAAAAAACTGAACAACTAGATTTCTGAAATTCTGTACAATAAAGTTCATGTCCTTTATTCATAGAGTTACACATTTACTCAGCCTAATTACTTTTTTGTCAGACATAATTTTAACAAGTTGGTTATCTGGTTTCCAACCTGGCAGACAATTAGACACAACAAATTGGAAGGCTGGCATACTGATAGCAAAGAGGGATCGCTTATAACCAACAAGACAAAAAAAAACTTTGAAAATCAGACAAAAAGGCATCCTAGACTGAAGACATTTAATGTAGGAGTAATCATCTCTACACAACTCAGTATACCACAGTATGTTGACTGAAATTTGTGATGATGATCTCAAGCCATTAATAAAATATTGCATTGTACTATTTATACTCTAAGAAAGCAGAAGAGTATATGATTCACTTTAGGAATATTTTTATTTAAAATGGTCAAAAATAAAGGGAAAGAGAAACCTGGGAAGACTTAGATGAACCAATGCAAAATGAAGTAAGTAAAACCAAGAGAACAATTTATACAGCAATAAGAACAGTGCAAAGAAAAACAGTTTTGAAAGACTTGAACAAAGTTCCCTTCCCTGGTTCCCAATCTCCAATATAAGTTGCATCCTTCTAATGGAATGCAATTTCTTGAGGGCAGGGATTTTATCATTTTTATTTATATCCCTAGTAATTAGCATCTTATCTGGTACATAGTAGGTGCTTCATAAATGCTCGTTGATCAAATGGAGATTTAAAAGCATTAGGTTATTAAATGTCTTCTTGCAAAATTTCTTGAGAAAAACAACATGGTATAGTGGAAAGATGGCTGTATTAGGAATCAACATTCAAATCCTACCTTCAATACTTTCTGACAAGATGATGATGAGCCAGTCCTTCAACATTTCAGAGTCACGTTTTCCTCATCTGTAAAGTAATAAGAATAAGAATAGCATACTTGGTATTCCATCTTAAAGGGTTATTATGAAGTGCTAATGAGATATTGTTTGCCAAGTGTCATATAAAAATGTTAGCTAATGTTACTAACTGAGTATTGTAGGCTAAATGATATAAACAACACCTAGCCAGTTATGGTCAAATCAGCTAGTTACTGGCAAAGTTCATGAAGGAAATAACTAAACCGACTTCTTTACAAGAACTTCGAGGGGGTTGGAATGGAAAATGCTTCAATATAGGTAATATGGTCTAGCCGCTATAATGCAGGACTAAAATCCATTTAAATCCAGGTGAAGTTCCTCTTACTAGCTAACTTAATAATCCAATGCTAGATGTCTTAATGACTCTCTGTACCATTTGTAGAATGAAGGTCATGATTATAAGACTGGCAGGCATAGAGCTTTAAATAGAGGATCCTATTAAAAAGTCTTCATGATTTAACTGCATTAACAGTTAATAAAATGAGGCAACATTGCAGATTGTATGCTGAGAGTTAAGGAAGCTGTTTTTAAATTTTTATTTTTACTCTCTAGGAAACACAACCTTTATAACTCGGACTTGGAAAGCTGAATTGTCTAAAGTTAGCCTTTTAATTGGCTCTCTGGCCCCTGGTTCTCTCCTTTGTAATCTATCCTCCACAGAGCTACCTGACTGATATTCCTAAACAGGTCTGACCACATCACTCCAGCTCAAGAAGCTCCCGTGTTATGTATGTAATTAAAATGTCCAAAGTTAGCCCAGAAGAAGAGTTGATGAAATGTAGCCTCTCCTTTCATCATACAGGTAGAGGACAATGGCTGTGGAATTTTTCATATACCATGTCAAATATAAGTTGACGTGTTAAGTTAATTTTGCTGAGCCACTTTTGCTCTCTTTCATTTTCAGTATTTGTTACAATGGGTGGTTAGATGAGTAGGAGATGGGAAGACATATATTCAGAAATTAATAAAATGAGGAAACAAAAGGCATCAATAAAAGATCTTTTTCTCAAAGAAGCTTCAATAACTCCATTTTTCATCTAGGATAAAATACAAACTCCTATGTTCAGCATTTCAAGTCCTTCACATTCTGGCTAAAACTGTCTTTCCAAATTATTCTCACATTACTTCCTTTTACATATTCTCCATTCCATCGAAACTGGCCTCCATGCTGTCCTGTGTACATGATTCTCTCTCCCACCTCAGCCCCTTGGTACTGGCTTTCCCTGACACCTAAAACACACTCCTTCATCACCTAACTCTCTTCAAGGCTCTGCTTAAATGCCATATCCTACATGAAGTCTTTCCTCATTCTCCCCAGTTGTTTTTAGTACCTTCTCACCACCAAAATTACTTTATATATATTTTGCTTTGGATCACCTATGTACGTGCTATATTCACCCAGTGGAATATAAGCTCCTGAGGTCAGGGACTGTTTCATTTTTGTCTTTGTAGTGTTTAATAAATACATGTTGAAGGAGTGAATAAAAACCAAACCCTTTAAAGTGGGCCAATAAATTTGGTATTTACCTTGGAGCTTGTGGTACTTTCTGTAAAGTGTCTAGAGCTTTGCAGAGAAACAAAACTGTCACACAAATATAACTTGTCACAAATAAACATAATACCTTAAGTTCAGTTCATTTTTCTTAATCCAAGAAAGCAACATACTATCCTAGCTACACCTAATCCTCCCACTTACCCATTTTCCCATATGTGTACATCTCAATCTAGATGAAGGAAAGATTTTTGCCAGTCTACAGGAAATCCATGAAGATTTACAACAGAAGACTGTTACACCTACATCACACTAAAGAGAACTACCTCCAAAGAAAGAAGTCCCTGGGTACTGTGTAAACAGTAGATTCTCCACTCCTAGAATCATATCTAGCATAAGATTAGCAGGTATTTTGCTCAAGTGCACCACCATCGTGGGGGATGGGAAGTTGGGGAATTCCTCCTTGGTCTGCTTCATCCCTGATCCCAGCCTTCTGTTCTCCACTGTCTATGACACTCTGCAGTGCAACCACACACACTTCCACCCAGGTTCTCAGCCTGCTGGCCTTTGAACTATGTTCCCCTCCAATTTCCATGGGGCCATGGATCAGGACACTCCCCCTCCTGGGGGACTACACTTCTGACCCAACAATCCCTGCTGCTTTGCTCTTTACCTCCACTTCTGCCTCCTAGCTAGATTTCTTGAAGCTAGGCTCATTCCTCTTCTCCACTTTTAAAAAGTCTTGGTCCTTTTCTTCATTAGAGAACACCCTGTGGTCTCAACATGGTCTAGAGGTTATCACATAATTTCAAGGGTGAAGAGACCTCTAAGATCATCAAGTCCAAGCAATATTTGAATAAGATTCTCCTCTCCAAGATATCTGACAAGTGTCATCCAGCATTTGCATGAAGAGTTTCAGAGAGGGGGAACCCACTGACAATCATCATCCTCATCTTCGTCTTCACTATTGCACGTACATAGTGCTTTAAGGTTTGCAAAGCACCTAATATATATCATTTGATCTTCCTTCTGAGGAAGTCCATTCAATAATAGGCTAGATAATTGTTGGAAAGTTTAACCTTTATCTCAAGCCCAAGTCTGACTCTCCATAACTCTTATTCCTGCCCCGTGTGAACAAGCAGAATGTCACATTCCTCTTCCAGGTAACAGATTTTCAAATACTTGAAGACCCATTGTTTTGGCATGGCCACTTACTAGCTGTGTGACAGTGAACAAGTCACTTCATTTTTGAATGAATGTAAATGATTTATTTACTGCTTTATGTTTCCTTCACTATGCTTACTTTGTCAGGTACCTGGTTAAATGCTAGATAATACAAATGCAAAAATAAAGTCACTCCCTTCTCTCAAGGAGTTTACACTCTAATAAGGGAAGACAATACATAAAAGGGAATGGTGGCCAGAAAGAAGTATTTTGGGCTGGGAAGACACAAGGATGGTAAATGAAGGTATAGGACAATTAGTTGATAGGACCTTTCAAGGAATAGTAGTATTAATATAATTTTTGCTCCCTAAGATAGAAAGAGATTTGGGAAGAAGGATCAAAGAGAGGGTAAATGGCATGTAGCATGGCTTGAAGATGACCAAAGAATAGCAATGGAGATTGTAGGTCTAGATCAAACTAGTTACAGAGAACTCTCACCAATGAGACCACAGGGAGCCAGGGTGGGTTCTGGGGACCCAAGCTAGAGACTAGATGCTTGGCTTGAGGATGACCAGAAAGTAGAAGCTCTCTGAGACTCAATTTCCATATCTGTAAAATAAAGCAGATCTGGCAGAAAGAGCATTGAATGTGGGGACAGTGACTTGGATTCAAATCCAGCTCTGCCAGTTAGTAGTTGTGTGACCTGGGGGGAAGGGAATAAGTGGCTACATTGTACGTACTATGTACTGCACACTGAGATCAGCGCTTTTCTTTTTTTACAAATATTTTCTCATTTGATCCTTACTACAACCCTGTGAGTAAAATGCTATTGTTATCTCTATTTTATAGTTGAAGAAATTCAGGCAAACAGAGGTTGTGACTTGTCCAGTGGATACTTTGTGGATACCAATTTAGGTAAATACACACATACACATACACCCTCACCCCAGCCCCATCTGTAACTCAATCAATTGACTTGATACAGGGGAAAATATTCCTAGCTGAAGCTCTGCCCACTCCTGCATAATGATTAGCTTCAGTTTGAGCCAAGGAGGGAAACACAGGAAAGATGTCCACAGGAAGAGAGAGAGCAGTTTTTCCCTCACTATAACATTGCATAAGACACCCATAGCCTCCTTTTTCAGCTTTGACAATAGCTTTAACCGCCCATGAACAAAGGAGGTCATTCAGAATGAACATGCCCAGTTACAACATGTCCCTAGGGTTTTGTTGCTTTTAGAATTTTTCATTGGAAACAAGAGAGGGAGATGAGTAGAATGGGGAAGAGGTAGAAAGCTTATAAAAGAGAATCCTGACTTCCAGTGCCAAGATGGCAGAGTAAGGAAGGAACCCTCCGAAGCCCTCCCAAACTCCCCTCCAAACAACTAGAAAACCACTTCAGAATTGACCTAGGAGCAGAGAAGCAGCTCACCAGCCCAGTGGAAAAGGTCAATCTCACTGGAGTGGGAGAGGAGCTAGGTCCAAGAGCAACAGCAGCCCCAGCAGCAGCCAGCCTCACAGGAGGGGGCCTGAAGCAAGGCTCCAAGCCTGGGGCAATCCACCAGCAAGGCCCTGCCCTCCTAGGAACCAGCAGCTCCCTAGGTAAGTGAGTAGTCTGTGCAGCACAGCAAGGCCCCACACCAGCTACCCCACCCCCAGCACAAACCACCAGTGGGGGCCTTGACTCCACTGCTGACCAGTAGTGAAGCCCCACCCTGGGGCTGACCAACAGTGAGACCCTGATTCTGGGGCCTGCCAGCAGAGAGACCCTGTTTCCATACCAACCTAGCAGCAGGGCCCCACCCCTAAGGCAGATCAGCAACAAGAGTTCTCCTCCAGAAACAGCCACCAGAAAGACTGTTATATT